CCTTCCTCCGGCTGCCCCCCCCGCCGTTGCTGCTGCTGCGGCGTCAGCAGCGCCGCCGCCAGCAGCAGCAACAGCAGCACGAGCCGCAGGCGTCTGCTGCTGCTGCTGCTTGTAGGCTGCAAGCCTGCGCTGCAGCTGGTGAGCAGCTTCGTCAGCAGCAGCAGCAGCAGCACCCAGCTGCCCACAAACTCTAAAGACAAAATGTTCTTGTAAGAAAGTTCCTGCATGCACAATTTGCTGCACCAGCTCCTCGCGCTGCTGCAGCCCGTCCGTCCGCAGCACAAAGTCCGCCGGGGATGTGGTCGCGCCGCTGCAGCAGCAGCAGCAGCAGCAGCAGCAGGGGAAAGAGCTGCGTCAGGAGAGGCCGGAGAGTGCGCAGCAGCAGCAGCAGCAGCAGCTGGGGCGGTGGCGCCACCGGAGGCGCAGCAGCAGCTGCTGCTGCACCACCCCAACCCCGAAACCCCCAGCAGCAGCAGCAGCAGCAGCAGCAGCAGCAGCAGCAGCAGCCTCACTGCAGCTTGAGGAAGCAGGAGAAAAGGGCACCCAGGGACTGCAGCAGCGCCGATGCTGCAGTGGAGCCCAGCAGCAAGTACACGCAGTGCAGCAAACCGCCGCTGCTGCTGCCAAACTGGTTTTTGTCAAAGACCCCCTGCAGCAGCTCAGACTCCCTACAGCGGCAGCAGCAGCAGCAGCAGCAGCAGCAGCAGATGCGTCTGCTGCTCTTTCCCCGTGCAGCACGCTGCTGCGGCTGCGCAGCAAATCCTGCGTTTCTTTTTCCTTTCATTTATATATTTATTTATTTATATTTATATTTATATTTATTTACTTGTTTGTTTGTTTATTATCTATTCATTTATTTATTTATTTACTTTATTACAACTGTGCTTTCCTCTGTGTCTCCGTCTTCTACACCCCCCCAGGCGTCTCCTGGCGTTTTGGCTTTTGCTTCCAAATTAATTCCTTTATACCCTTTCAAAGCTTCTTCTAATCTTTTGCTGCTGCTGCTGCTGCTGCTGGTGCGGGGGGGAGCAGCAGCAGCAGCAGTCACGTGGCGCAGGCGGGTGCGGGCAAAGCCGTCCACCAGGGTTTTCAGGATTGTTGTGATGACCTGTGGGTAAAACCACAAATTAGGGTTTAGGCTTTAGGGTTTAGAGTTTGGTCTGTAATAAAAAGAGAAAAACAAAAACAAAAATAAAAGAACTAAAAAGAAATAATTAAAGTGAACAAAGCGCATTAAAGACTGGGTAATAAGGCCAATTAAAAGTAAATTGAGAAAATAAAAATATATTAAGACAAATTAAAATAAATAAAATAAAATAAAAATAAATTAAAAGCAAATAAAAATAAATAAAGGTAAAAAAAGTAAACGAAGTAAATCAAATAAACAGAAGTAAATAAAAACAACTCGACGAAAAAAATAAAAGAAATTAAAACGAATAAAAACAAATAAAAACAAATGAGTAAATAAAATAATAAAGCTAATAAAACAAATAAAAGTAAGTGGAACAAATAAAAATTAATAAAATACATAAAAATAAAACAAAAATAAATCGACTAAATGTAATTAAATGAAATAAATAAAATTAAATTAAAACAAAAGTAAATGCTAAATGGCAAAGGACACTTGCCAGCTGGCATTTGCAAATAGAGAAAAATGTTTTTGTTATGACTAATTTTGAGTTAGTTGATTTATTAATTAATTAATTATTTATTTATTTATCATTTATTATTTATTTATTTATTTATTTAAATAAATAAATAAATAAATAAATAAATCCAAACCTGTTTGCCAGTCCAGAGCCTCCGGGGCCAGAGGACTGCGGGGGTGAGCAGAGCGATGCCTTCCGGGGTGGAACTGGGGCCATTTTTGCCGTTTTTGGGGTTAAAATTTGAAATGATTTTCGATTTTTTATTTAAATTTGAATTTAAATTGCAATTTAAATCCAAATCCACCGAAAAAGCCTCTTCGAGCTCTTTCGAGCGGTCCAGGGTGATCCGCACGCAGGTGTCGTGACACCCCAAGTACCGCTCCAAACCCGCATACACCTGAAATTTCAAAATGCAAAACTCCATTTGTCCTGTTTTTGTCCTCAGTTCTTTTATTATTCATTTTAATTGTTTTTAATTGCATTTTTAAAGAAGTTTCAAACTTTTCAGCTTTTTTCCGCAAGACAAACGCCTCAGCTGCTGCTGCCAGGCCAGGGGAAGTACAGCAGCAGCAACAAACGAACTCAACTGAATACAAACTACATGAAATCCAATTTATTTATTTGTCTATTTATTCATTTATTTATTTATGAATAAATATAAAGTCTACAGTTTAGGGTTTCGGGTTTAGGGTTTAGGGTTTGCTGTCTGACGAAGCTGCTGAATTGCTGCGAATCGGGGAAGCCGGCGCGGCTGCGGTTCCGCGGCCAGGGTTTAGGGTTTAGGGTTTAGGGTTTGGGGCTGACGAGGGTGCTGAATTGCTGCAAGTCGAAGAAGCTGTCGCGGCTAGTCAGCAAAACCCCCGCAAGACAATAGTCTTGAATTAAACCCCTCACGAGATCTCCATTTTTGGGAACTGTGAATTGGCTGTCAGCATTTAATATCAAACGGCCCTCAGAACGAGACACAGGGTCCTGCAGCAGCAGCAGCAGCAGCAGCAGCAGTAGCAGCAGCAGAAATGGGCTGCTGAGAGCTGACGCACAGAGATTTGCTGTTGCTGCTGCTGCTGCTCTATCTGCTGCTGCTGCCGCTGCTGTTCAATCTGTTGCTGTTGCAAGTGCTCTACCTGCTGCCGCCGCGCCACCTGCTGCTGCTGCTGCTGCTGCTGCTGCTGACCTGTGGGACGTGTAAGTTCATTTCGTCTCCGTCGAAGTCTGCATTGTAGCTGCTGCAGTTGACGAAGTTGATTCTGAAGACTCTCTCTGGGGCCTGGTCGCTTTTTGCTGCAGCAGCAGCAGCAGCAGGCTCCCCCTGCTGCTGCTGCTGCTGCTGCTGCTGCTGTTGCTGGCGCTTGTCGAGGAGCGCGCGGGTGACCTGTCTGTAGCTGCCGTCCTTCCTCTTGAGTCCTGCTTTTTCGAGAAAAGAATTAAAATTAAATTCGGAATTAAAAGGTTTATTTATTTTCACAAAATGTCCCATTAAGGACAAACGATGCAAAGACGGCTGCCGGTTCATCAGCACCAAGTCCCCGTCTCTCAGGTGTCTGTACACCCGAAAACTCCGACCCTCAGCAGCGCCAGCAGCAGCAGCAGACAGCAGCTTTGCTGCTTTCCCCGCGCGCGCTGCAGCAGACATGAACTCCAAGTTGTAGCTGCAGCAGCAGCAGCAGCAGCAGCAACAGCAGCACATTATGCCGCAACAAAGAGGTCCCTGGCAGTCCGCGGATGCGCCCACATCCAAAACCCTAAACCCTACACGCTAAACCCTAAACCCTCACAAGTTGCCTTGATCGTCTTCTAGGGCGAGGGCCCCCGGGTGTTTGAAAGGGCCATTAATGACCATTTGGCTCAAAGCAAAAGCATTAAAAGAAGTGGCAGCTTCGGGCACTGAGAGTTTCATTGCGAAGTCCAGAGGCACCGACACCTGCACGCGTAAACCCTAAACCCTAAACCCTAAACCCTAAACCCTAGGGGCCTCTTTGGGACCAGCAGACCGCCAGGCCCGCTGCACCTCCCTCCCCCCCAAACCCTAAACCCCAAACGCTGCCCCCCGAACCCCAAACCCTAAACCCTAAACCCGAAACCCTAGGGACCTCGTTGGGGGCGAGGAGCCCGTCGGGTGCGAGGACAGTGCGGGCTGCGTAGTTGACGCGTTTGCCCTGCATGCGTTGGCGAATAGCTCCTGCTTTTTTTTCCATCCATTGCCGAACTCCCGGAGGAGCAGCTTGTCTGAAAAAGGAAAAGAAGAGCTTCAGAAAGACGCAAAACCACCTTTTCAGCGTTTCAAACGAGTCCGAAAACCCTAAATTAGGGTTTAGGGTTTAGGGCGTAGGGTTTAGGGTTTAGGGTTTGCAGCCAGCGACACTTCGGCCAGCGCTCGCAGGTCCCCACCTCCCGAAACCTCGCCCTACAACTGACTCAGGACTATTCAGGGTTTAGGGTTTAGGGTTTAGGGTTCGGGGATTGGGGCTGGGGAGGTCCGGGGTGTACGTACAGCAGGCGCATGCATGCGCTTGGGGTGTACGTACACCTGGGGCGCGGGCTTACGGCTTTTCGGCTTTTGTGCTGTCCGTCATTTCATTTAATTTTAATTGAAGTTGCAGAGCATAAGTGCTGAGCCACTTGGCCCCCCCCACTGCGTGCTGCTCGACGAACTCCTGCAGCAGCTGCTGCTGCTCGGGCGCCAGGCGCAGCTGCTGCTGCTGCTGCTGCTGCTGCTGCTGCTGCTGCTGCTCGGGGGCCCCCATGAACAGCGCCGCCCACTGCGAAGGGTCCTTGAGGGCCCCCAAGGGGTCCGGATGCCGCAGCACATTTAATGCAAATTTTAATTTTTCATTTAACTTCAAAATGTCCTGCAGCTGCTGCGTCCGGGGGTGCAGCAGCTGCCGCCCTGCTGCTGCTTCGCGGCCCCCAAACCCTTTTGCTGCTGCTGCTGCTGGCGGCGGCCGAAAACGATTTGCTGCCACAGCCACCACCTGCTGGAAAAACACCGACGGGCCCAGACGCACAGCTGCAGCAGCAGCAGCAGCAGCAGCAGCAGCAAGTTGGTCGGCCGGTTCAACAGTAAACGCCGTACAACACCAATGCACAGAACAAATTAAAGCTGCTGCTGCCAGGCACCATAAAGCAATACTTACACCAACAGCAGCAACAGCAGCAGCAGCAGCAGCAGCAGCAGCACGACCGCCGCGAACACCAGCATGAGCGCAAGGCAAGAAAGCAGCGGCGGCTGCAGCAGCAGCACCAAAAAACAGCAACGGCACGCGCCAGAACAATAGCAGCAGCAGCAGCGGCAGCACACGCGACAGCAGCAGCAGCAGCAGCAGCAGCAGCAGCTTACTCATGGGGAATAAGTAAGCCAGCAGCAATCTGTCTTCGTCGTGGCTGAAAAGAGACTGCAGCAGCGGATACAGCTGAAAGCCCTGCAGCTCCACAGAGCCAATAGCCTTCCCAGTGCGACCTGCAGCAGCAGCAGCAGCAGCAGCAGCAGCAGTAGCAGCAGCAGCAGCAGCAGCAGCAGTAGTACTAGTACTAAACAGAAGGAACACGCAGCGCTTTGGCCGCAGGCCAGTAAACCCCCCATAAGG